GACACTTTACTGTGTTTAAAACTTTTGTTTTCTCAGTTTTTCGATCGTAATTATTTACAGTGCTCTGTCAAAGAAAACATAGCAGCGCGGAACACAACTCCGTGCACAGCCATTTTGATTGTTTAACCTGAATTTGTGCAACGATTTTACGTATCGTATTCATCTTTCGTTTTCCATATCACCGTTTTACATTTTGATCACCTGTACGTAGAATGACGCGGGCATCCTATCTATGTTTGAAGGATAACTGCGGGAAAAAGGTGGTCAAGGGAATCGAATGTGAAACCGGCAAAAGATGGGTGTATTCTGGTTGTTCAGGTATTAGCAAAGACCGCTATGCATTCTTTTGCTAAAATAGCTGGATAGAGTGGATTTGTGAGCAGTGCAAGGACGCGGCCAGGTCTGCGTTTGCGAAACAAAAATCAGAGGCCAGAAAAAAACCGAGCAATGAGCGTCTCGAGAGCCCTAAGAAGTTGGAACCAACCAGAGGAATCTTGAGAACTTACGCTCAGGTCGCCTCAAGCCAAGAAAAGAGTAAACCGCAGGGGGAGAGTTCTTGGCACACAGTTTCGCTTAGGACCTGGGAGGCAGTAGCGGTATCCACACCGTCACACAAGCCGCTACCTATGGTCAACTCCAAGGTACGTCAGGGTGCAAACCGTGCCAAGACTCACCGCGGGTCCAAACCTGGAGCGGGTAGAAATATTCCCTCACATGGGAATAGAGAAAGGTTAGAAGAAGACCACCAGAAGCTGAAGAAGCAAGTGAGTAGCCTCCTTGCAGTAAGTATACCCAAAGTTGAACATCTTAGAAACCTCCTCATACTAAACAATGAGGAGCCCAATAAAAGGGAATCAAAGGCCCGAAGGGAAATCGACAGGCGTAGAGTCCATGACATACTCAGGCTAGCTGGGGCTCCACCAAACACAACAATTAGGAGGGTACATCGGGTCGAAAGGCGGAAAACACCACCCCCGGAAACACCACAGGCATCAACTAGACCCATAATGGTGGAGTTTGCTAGACTGCTAGATAGGGATATGCTCCTATCCCGAGCAGACCTAGTGTGGAGTGCCACGAAAGAGCGATATAAAATAGTTCCTGATGAACCCCTAGTCAGGGTCATGAATAGAAGACTGTCAACTAACATGACGGAAGGAGAACGATTTGGGGCTAAGCTAAAGCAGTCGCTCAGGGCACGGGTCTTAGCAAACCCAAATGGGGTAGTATTTGAGGACATCTTGGAGCATCTCACGTTAGTAAATGAGACTCAAATGGAATCAAATAACACCGCATCCGGCCAGTCAATACTGTCACCGGGACCAACATACGCCTCCAAGCTCCCCGAGCTAGAGGAAACGGTAGTCTCATTAACAGCTAGCACCACAGATCAGCCAAAAACGGGCTGCCTACTCGGATGTTACGCTCGAAGAGAAAATCCTAGTGAACAAATACCACCCGTTAGGGACAGAAAAGCACTGTTACTGTTGCATGCCAATGCATGTAGTACTAGGAATAAGTGGGCAGAGCTGGCCACAATTGCTGCGGGAACAAAGGCTGAGGTAATTGTCCTATCTGAAACGTGGCTAACATACCCGAAACGGTCTTAGGCTGGTTCACAGTCCACAGACAGGACAGGAAAGAGGGTACATTGGGGGTGAAGTAGCTGTCCTAGTCAAACAGGATACATCATGAAAACAAAATAGCGCAGTTCACCCGGAATGTTCAGGTGTGCTCGATTTCGTTGGTTCTACCTTCAAGGAGGGTNNNNACAGGAATGCACACCCGAGGAGGACCAGGCACTTCTATGCACCCTAGATAGCTTATACAGACACTCACAATGAGTTTGTACATTGAGGGATTTTAATTTCCCAAAAAACGATTGAGAGGTTGAATGGGTGCCAACTGGAACACCGGAGAGGGCATTCTTAGAATGGATGTACTCGAGGGCCCTACAGCAACATGTTCGGGAGTGCACTAAGTACAGAGATGGAGATAGGCCATCTCTATTGGACCTAATAATTACGACGAGGGAGAGGGATGTGACAAATATTACCCTGTATCTACCGCTGGGTAAAAGCGACCACGTCGTTCTCACCGCAGCAATAAGTATAATGCATCGTAGAAGTAATGTCAGGATGTCCGGGAACTACTGGAAGATAGATGCGACATAGCTGAAGGCCCGCGCTGAGGAGCTTGTATGGGCCCCTATCCACGAGAATGACTTTAGACCAGCATTGGGGCCGGATCAAAGCAAATATCTGGCTTCTGCAGGATGAATTCGTTCCCCTGAAACGCAGGGCAGCGAAGAACAAACCACTTTGGTGTAGCCCAGCGATTAGGAGAGCGATACAGCGTGGAAATAGGAGCTGGTACACTTATAAGTCAATGGGCAATAACAGATCCTGGGCGAAGTACACCAGGGATAGAAACAAAGCAGTGGCAGTTCAGCGGAAGCTCAAACGACAATACGAGCTCAAGCTGGCAAATTGAGCTAAATACCAGTCAAAGAGGTACTACCGTTATGTCCAATCTAAAGGGGGGGCTCAGTGAAAAGTAGGGCCTCCGATATTGGACGATGGAGAAGAAGTAACCCATGAGATGGATATAGCAGTGCGATTTAAGGAATACTTCAAAAGCGTACATAGGATAGATCAACTCGTCATTACACAACCTGACCTCCACGCCGCTGGACCGGGTATCCCCGAATTACACTTTGGATTGGAACAAGCGCCTAGGACTCTTAGTGAGCTTAACGCAACCAAATCAGCCGTACAAGATGGCATCCACCCGGCCTTGGTTAAACACAGCTGAGGTTCTAGGGGGCCCGCTCTGCCACCTGTACAACAGAAATCTAGAGCAGGGCTGGATACCACAGGACTGGAAAACGGCAAATGTGGTCGCCATACACAAGAGGGCCGAGACACAAGGTGGACAACTATCGTCCATTTAGTCTCACAAGCATCTTATGCAGGCGATAGAGTGAATTATCAGAACCCACTTATGCGAATACCTCACTCAGCACCACTTGCTTCCCGGGGGCTGAAGACAGAAAAAGAAAATTTGTGTTAATTGTGTGTGAGGTGCGTGATGCAAAGGAGCGATTGTAGAAATAGGTAACGGCTACAAAAGGAGGATGTGGGTTGTGATTGAGAGTAAGTGAGAAAAGTGGGTGCTATCTGGACTCCAGCAAAGCATTTGACTCAGTATGTCATCGCTTGCTTTTGGCCAAGACAGATGCTCTAGGGATAGGGGGTAACATCCACTAGTGGCTAACAGCTTTCCTCACCGATCGGACCTTCCAGGTTCGGGTCGGAGAAGCGAACTCGCCAGTGAAAACTATTGCTAGTGGTATTCCTCAAGGATCAGTTCTAGGTCTATTCCTCTTCTTGCTCTACATCAATGATCTGCGTAAACGCCTTGTCTCGCCTAGCTACATATTTGCGGCCGACGTCAAGGTGATAGAATCAAATGGGAGAGCGGAATTAGGGAGGGACATAGGAGAAGTGCTCTTGATTACTGGAAACGAGGGGCTGATAGTGGGGAGTGGTCATAGTGTCCTTTCACTAGGAACGACACAGAAAGCTAGAGATTTAGGAATCATAGTGACAGCAGGCTAAAAGTGGATGGAACAGTGCGGCGCAGCTTTTTAAATTGAGGTCGGTACTAACATGTAGGAAACCGGAGGTATTCGTGCCTCCATACAAGGCCATTGCTTGACCGCATTTTTCTGCGTGCAATTTGGTGGTTTGCAGGCCTAAAGCATTTTATTTTTGAGTTTCGTAAAGCGTATTTTTTACGTTTTGGTATCACCTGTGTCTACTTTTCTAGAGTTAGAGAACTGTGTATTTAGACATTTCTTGAATAACTTGGAATGGCACACTCGAAAGGTTCCAAATCGTGTGGGGCCAATTGTTGCACAGAGTATGTCGCCGAAGGGATTCAGTGCGACGGGTGTGGAGTGTGGTACCAACAACGACGCTCTCAAATGAGCAAAAATGAGTATCGGATCCATACGGAGCACAAGTCCTTTAAGTGGGTGTGCAAACACTGCGCAACACTAGCCGAGGAGTTCAGGAGAACCCTGAAGGCATCACTTGCTCGTCTGAATAAGGATAACAAAGAAAAACCGGAAGGGATTACTTTTGCATCATCCCTCAATAAAAGTGCAGAGATCAGAAAAGCAGGAAATCAAAACAAGGAAGTTGGAAAACAGACTATGAGGCCTTTACAGGCTACGAAGTCTGAGGATAAACCTAAGGGACAGCCGAACTACCGGGAAATGGTACAATGGATCGAGAAGTTAGAGAAAAAAATTAAGCTGCTGAAAAGGAGCAGCGAAGTATCGCGGGAAGAACTAAGAACTTACTCCTGCATAATTCCGCGGAGCCAGTTATTAAAATAGCGAAGCCGAGGCGAGAAGCTGAGCATCGCCATGTGCAAAACATTTTCAGGCTGGCAGGGTTGCCCCACAACACCCCATACATCAAGTGCCACAAAATTGGCCTGTGGAAATGGGGAAGCTCACGTGGTCCCTGGCCTCTCCTAGTGGTGTTTCCACACACTAACATGAGAGATCTGCAAATATAACGAGCCTCAAGGATCGAGGATATTACTTAGGGGCGTATAACAGTGTGGAGATTCAGACTTTCGTGATCGCATTCCAGGAACGACGAGGTACAGTTTCATGTCATCCAATCACCGTTCAGGAAGCTTGACCAATGGTACACCGGGTGAACATGACATCCGAGTTAGCACATATGTTACGTCGGTGCAAACTGTTACGTGGTTAGAGGATGCTCGTTCAACCAGTCATACATCCTATAAAATATGATCTAATTCCATCAATAAACATAAGCATATGCTGCTATCAATTCCTCGTGTATTTCATTGGTGTCCGCAGTTCGGGTTGGAACCAAATCAGCTCTGAGCAGTACAGTACGGACTCTCGTATTGCTAGATTCAATATTACTCCGATTACTACAATTCGGCGTCGCGCAATGGATATTCCAGTCATTGAACCATTGAATCTGCACAGAAGCCCATCAGAAATCGATGAGTGGGTAGAACATTTCGAATTATGGTACAGCATCCGGAAAGGAGGAATGCAAAAGCAGTCGGTCCTATTTTTGACGTTGGGCGGCCGAGAGCTGTATTTCCTGGTAAAGAATCTAGCATTCCCGAATGTTCCTGCTGAATTGCCGTTCGAGAAGTTGAAATCCCTATTACTGGACTACATTCTCCCAATGGATTTTCAGGCCACTGAACGGGCCAAATTCAAGTCAATGATCAGGGCTGCCAACATGCCGTGCTGTGAGTTCATTATCCAGTTGAAAAAACAGGCGTCAAAATGCAACCATGGTGACCGATTGGAAGAACAACTTTGCGACCGTCTCAT